TGATATTCGTGATCAGCAACTCAGGACGAATCAGAATATATGTGAAAAAAGAAAAAAAAAATTTTGTGGAAACTTTGCATTACTGGCACCTTACTTGAACCATAAAAAGGAATGTACAACCAATCTGAGAAGTTTCCTGCCTAATAAAAACAAAAATCTGATATAGACTTGGCCAAAAAACCACAGAAACATCATTAGTTGCTTTTTTTATGTTGCAAGAAACTTACTCGAGAAGCATTCAACTGTTGTGCCAGTTTTTCGTAGACACCTAGCCATAATGCATTGTATATATAATGATCAACAAGATTCTTTTTATTGTCTTGAAAATTACTTAATCGATAACCTCCTTTTTTCTCATCAATACCTAATGGTTTTAATATTTTATCTTGAACATAATGTTCGAATGATACTCCGGCCACACGTTCAACAATGAATGCAGCTATGCTTGCACCCATATTTGAATAAAATGTTTTATTTCCAGATGGTATAGGTAACCAACTTTTTTCATTACTCAAGTATTTCTGAATAACTTTGCCAAGATTAGTTTGTCTAAAACTATCACCAGGAAGATAATGCGTAAGTTCTTCTTCAAAATTTGTTCCAATACCAGATGTATGTGTAAGTAAATGTCGAGTGGTGATTATAACATTAGGATATTGTGGATGAACAATTTTCATAAGAGATGTTAAGTATTCATTGATATTTATGTCAAGATTAAGACGATTTAACTCGACCATTTACATAGCTGCTACAACAATGAATGTTTTTGAGACGGAGCCCAAAAGGAAAATTGAAGTTGAAGGATCTATTGGTTGACGTGGTTCTGAAATAGGTGGAGAATGATAACCAATTCCTTCTTCATAAATAATTTCATTTGGTTTGACGACTATTATTGCAGCGCCAGGAATATAAGCATCATCAAGAAGGGATTGGATCAATGCTTTCGTTAGAGGACATTTAAATTGATGATCTTCTGCTTTTATTAAAGTAATGATCATGAAAAGCCAAAATATCTCCATGTTGTTTTGATTCTTTTTCGTTAAATATCATTTAAATCTCCTTTGTATGTATATACGAACAACACATAGAATTAGTCATACAATAGATATAAAATGCTTTTATCTGTGCCCTTGACTTGACTCATTTTTTTTCTTCTCATTCAAAAAATGTTGACGACTAAGTCATATAAAGTGTAATAAACATGTTTTTATCTAAAATGAAGATTTATTTTATTATATATTTCTTTTAGTTTTGATATTCTAGTACTATCACATATACATATTCATCGACTATGTCTAAACGACGTCCTAGTCAACCTTAATGTACAATTATGCATCGTATTTTCAAGTCTATATTGATTTAAAGTTACTTAACAAGTATTAATCTATGAAGATAAAATAATTCAAAATCATTATCAAATACAATGACGCACATATTAATTGTTGATAAAGATTAACTGGATTACAGAGTTTATTGCAGTTGTATATATTTATCTACAAATGCAAGTTTCGTTTTGCAACCTAAGTGATTATTTTTTTTCTTTGAACGGAACCTATATGATTAAGTTGACATAGTTTCGTTTCAGGTAGTTTTTCGTTGAAGTTATATAAAAAGAAAAACAAATATCTGTAAAAAAAATTTCATGACAGTGTTGTCTTTAGATCTATCACTGTTCATGAATTTTAACAAAGCAAATATTTTTATTTTGTGCAATCAAGAATATATATTTAGAATGTTTTTAACTGGGGAATATGGGGATATTGGATGATCGATGAAAATTAAAACATTTCAATACATCTTAGAATCGGTCAAATGTTATCAATTATTTTTTTTTATTATTCCGCAGATATGGAGACACTAGATGATTGATAAAATTTCAAACAAAAGTAGATTTTAAAATAATCTAAATGTTTTTGATGATTGTGTTTCAGCAAAGGGACATGAGAACAAAATAGATCAAGCAATAAATTTCCTTTTAATTCTTATTTACTTTCTCTGATATCTCGCTTTGTTAAACTTCCACTAATGTTCATCAAAGACCACATTTATATCCACAAAAATGAAATAGATCCTTTATACTAAGCCGCATTGTCAACAACAATTCTTTGCTGATAAGAATTAGTGATGTGATCGGTTCGTATTTTTTTGGAACCAAACCGAACCAAATCGACTTGAATCGATTTGAAAATCAAAGAGATAAAGAGGGTTTAAAAGCTTTACTGTTTTTTCTAAGAATATGCCTCTAAAAACCTTCATTGAGTATGGGGTGTGGGTGTGAGTTTGGGTGTTAGTGTAGGTATTGTTCGACAAAATACCCAGACCCACACACACTCACACCCGAACGCGTTCTGAGGCCATTTTCCTCAACATGTATTACTCAGCATTGGAAAATTATAATTTCTACATTCATCTGCTTAGTCACCAATGAAATTATCAGTATATGAATGATTATTCATTAATTCTTAAAAAGAACATTATTTCCAAATGATTTTATTCCACTCGCTTATAAATATCGGTTTTGTTTAAAATATATAAAAATTGAGTGTTTACCAAAAAACCATGTCCATCATTTTTTTATTCAAAATTAAAAATATTAATAAAAGATTTCGTACAACAAAAAAGTGAAGAATTTATAGAAAATCTTTCTTCAAGCAAACACGATTTTCTAATGATTAGTTTAAAAGCATATTTATCATTCTTTTGCATTATTCCCACTCTGATTACACTTCCGTATGGGAATTTGTCTGCGCCAGTTTTTTTTTCTCATGTCTTTCCTATTGCATCACACTCTTTCGTCAATTATATGTTAACAACAGAACGAAAAAATTTCACAACGAAATGACATTTACATGTGTGCTCTCGTTTATTATCATGTTACGACATTACAAAAATATATAAAAGACGGCTACTACTGTGACAAGAAACAGTTTTTGTCTCAAAAGTGACTCGAAGTAAAAAAGATATTAAGTGTAAACTACACAACAATGGGATTCACAACAGATCTTCGCAAATGTAGTCAACTTCATCAACAAAATAAACGTATCGCTCGAAAGAAAACAAATCAAAGCTTTCTGCTATCCCATTTACATTTAGGTATGATATAGAATACATTTACAAGATTTTCAAAAATCATGAAACATAGTGTAAAAAATATCGAGTAAAATATATGTTGCTAATTAAAAGATTTATTTGAAACATAGACCTATATTAAGAGCGATGTCAAAATTAATCACTAGACAACGATATGAATATTTTAGAATTTGTTGCTTTTTATTGAATTTGTAACTTTTATGGTATTGTAGTGCCTGTCAAATACGATTGAGGTTATCGATCTGATGAACATTCCCTTTCTTTATATATATATATATGTATTTTGAAGTGTTATAATTTGTGAGACTATATATTCAGTAATATTTTCTGTTTGTTTAGATATAACAAATAAAACTCGATCGGCTAGATCTTGGATAAGAGATCAATTAATTGATTTCAAAAATGATAACTTTGAAGAAAACACTAATTGTTACGATGATATATATTTGGAATACAGTTTAGAACAGATAGACATAGAAACTTATATTCAAGCACAATGGAATGAGATCTTTGAAGCTATCGATAATGATAATGCTGATCTTCTCGACTGTCTTATACCACCAGTTAATATTTATAATTATAAGGAAAAATATTGGTCCAATGAACAATATAATCAATATTGTGAAGATTCTAACATCCTTTTATACGCTATTCGTGATGGACGTATAAACTGTATTCGAGTTTTATTGGACAAGGTTTATTCCGGTGATGTTAATCCAGATATATTACAAGGTAATTGTAGGTTCGGTCAAACGCCACTATCGTGGGCATGTGAACGTGGTTATATGACTCTTGTTCGAGAACTTGTTGAACGTGCTCATGTTAATATTGATCAAGGTGCTTTGTTAGGAATCGCTGTTAGAAAAGGTCATCAAACACTGGTCGAATATTTATTGACTCAAGGATATAATTATCAGAATAAATATGACCAATTTATATTGTGTGATGCATCTGCTCGTGGTCATTCTGAGATTGTTAAAATCCTTTTAAAATATGGTGCTGATCCCAATACATTAGATTATTCTGGTTGGACTCCTCTTGATTATGCTATAGATCAGAGAAATTTTGATATTGCCGAAATTCTCATATCTTATTCACATGGTAATATCAAAGAAAATGGTGATCATTTTACACCGTTGATGATAGCAGCACATTATGATTTAAGATCGATTGTTGAATTACTTTTTAAACTATTACCAATTGATCGAGCTGCTGATGATCTATTACGATTAGCTTGTCGATATACAATCGATCTTAACATGTTAAATCATGATATGGCCTTATATTTTTTTGTACAAGGGTTAAATGGAAAACAAATATCGAACAATTCTAATATCAATGAAGTTTATGAATTTCGGCAAGAATGTCAAACATTAGATCAATTAGAAAGTATACAAGATGATGAAAATGCTATGAGAATGCATGCTTTACTTATTAATGAACGAATTTTTCTTCAACGTCAAGATCATTCTAGTTATATTGATTTAATTGAGAAACAATGTAATTATTATTGTGATCAACATTTATACTATCGTAGTCTTCAATTACGTTTGCACGCATATCAATTGATGATTCGAGTTCAGAATGATTGTCCAGAAGCACGAAAATTATATGAAAATAGTTTGAATAGATTAGTTGACAATTTACAGAGTATATTAATACAAGATGATCTAGTGCCTATTGACTCCTTAGTTATTATATTCAATTTGATTTTTGAACAATATGTGCCAGCAATGAAATTCAGTCAAACAAATCTTCTGATTATCATAGGTTTTGTAAGTATATACAATTACACTCGATGCTGATAGTACATCCGATAATTATCTATGTTTCTGTTGATATTTCTTGAGATGATATTCTCTTCTCATTAAAAGTTACTTATCTATATTATGTTATTAGAAAATTCCTATACTATGTGGTCATGACTTGCCAAGTGGTGTTCATTTTAAGAAGCTACTTTGCCATTTCATGGAAATGTTCCATATCTATAAAGAAAAGGGCATTGAGATTAGAAAAAAACTAAAGAAAAAAAAACATTTGCTAATGAAGTTCATATCTAATAGAAAAAAATAAAATACTCATATCAATCAATAGAATCGATTATCTTCAAGAGTAACTGGCAACAATTATTTATATACTAATTACTCTTAAAAAAAGTTGCTTTTCGAATAATGATATGTTGGGATGAAGAGATAAGTCGAAATTTGCTCTTTCTGAAATGTTATAGTTTTATCTGATATTTCTCTCTTTTTCTTCAGATATTTGCTACTGAGGTCAATCAAATAGTAGTGACAGTAACGCTTTAATACCAATTAGTAAGTTTTAACGAACTATCTTTCTATATGGTCTGATAGAGAAAAGAATGCTCTAGTTTTCTATACCAATTGATCGTGCTTTAACTAATAGTATAATAATAAAACTTTAATAAGAACTATTTTTCTATTCTATCTGATGGTTACATTGTGTTTTGAATAACTTTCGATAGAAACGGGATAGAGAGCTGCGGTTTTCACCATTAGAAAGCGAGGGTAAACATCCATCGAAGTACATATCATGCATTTTTCTAGACTTTATTTAAAGTTACTCTAATCAATTTTTTAAGTACCGAAAAAAAATTTTCTATCATTTTTGCATAGAAATTGTTAGAAAAATCATTTAAAGGTTCGAAAGGAATATCTATAACATGGAAATAATTAATTATAAATAATTGAATCTTCTGAAACTGTGTAAGTTTTTTCATCAGCGGTTTGAATTGACATCTGACAATTGAGAATTCGCTGTGAATACTTTATGTATCAGGACTACTTTAGAGAGGTTGATTGACAATTTTTTAGAAAGCCATGTGAACAACCATATAATAAAGGATTCGATGTATCTTCATTTCCACTTTCCAGTGGTAAAAACTACAGCTCTCTATCTCATTTCGATCAAAAGTTATTTAAAAAATGTCTATTGAACAAGCACTCGTATAACCGTTACATACGATAGAAAAACAGTTCTTATTGAATTTTTATTATTCTAATATTAGTTAAAGTACAATCAAATGGTATAATGAAAATAGAGTATTCTTTTCTCTATTAGACTATATAGAAACACAGTTTCTTAAAGCTTACTATATGATATTAAAGCATTACTGTCACTACTTTTTGATTGATTTAAGTATGATTTCTGTCGTCTTTTTCTTAAGAAACCATGTTATTTTTAGAATAAAAATCGATAATTTTTTCTTCTTGTACTCAATGTATGTTTTTTTTAAATAAATTTCTCTTGATACATATTATTCTCTTTAATTTTTCTTTTCTATTATATTCTTTGATTATATCAAAAGAAGATTAAAATTAAAAATATTTAAAAAATAATCATACATTTTAGGAACAATCCCTTGATGTAACATAGTGAAGAGCTCCTTATACCTATGCATCCGAGGATTTTTTCGCTAAAATTGATAGCGGCTGGCCACGGTTTTATCCAGGTTTTTGCTTCAGGGTAAAATGTGCCATATTGATGGTTGCAAAATATTCATATTTTATAAGTTATGTAAAACTTATTTTGTTTCATCTATTCCAAAAATATCGCCCAAATATATTAGAAATCAACCAGAAATACATACACAAAAAACTACTACAAGAAGAAAATGCAAAAAAATAAAAAATAAAAAACATAGTAAGACAATATGACTTCTACCATATAATTCAAACTACTAGACGACGTGGTGTCATGGTTTTTCATATGCAGTAGTTTGAAAGATGATACAGCAAAAAGTAATAGAAATATAATGTTAGTGTAGATGAGTAAAATGAAGATGAAATTAAAACAGTATCTTTATTTTAAAAATTTCTGATTTTCGACTTTGACCGATGAGATATCAAACTAGCATATTCAATTAACCACTGTTATTGTTATAATTCAACATATAAAATATGCAGTGTTTTGTTATTTAACTCTTATTTAAATAACATACATTCAGACCGTGAATATATGTCATTATTCGTTCGAAAGAAGTGGTCTGATGCGTCAGTATTCTCTTGAATGCTAATAAACCGAAGAAAAATTACCATGGTGTCATTATATTTGAAAACAATGATATACAAAGAAGACATGTTTTTAATTAAATGAATGAATTGTCATAGTCATATTATGTTAAGGAAAGGGAATTTGCTCTGTTTTAACAATATTGTATTATACAATTTTTCTAAATATTTTTTACAAAAAGTTTAGAAGATTTATACGAATTTTGCTTTTGTTTTTTTCAAATTTGTTCTTATTTATTCCGAGGGGGAAAAACGCAAGCTCCTGGAGGGTGACGTGCCCCTGCCCCACTCCTCCCCCCGGATTCATTTGACAAATAGAGGTCAAAAATGCTTTCTTGAAGCCAATAGAGTTCATAAACAATATCGAAGATTTTTATAGTTCTCTCCTGCATATGACAAAAATTTTTCTGAAACACAGCTTTGTATGTCTAAGATTGATGAATACAAAAAGAATTTCGTGTAAAATATATTGCAAAAAACATTTACATTTGTTTCTTTTTACTGTTGAATTATAATTTAACGTGATGATAAGTTGATGCTCAATTATAATTATTAAATACGATATTTGTTTTTTTTTGCTATAGATGATTCAATCGAAACAGGTGGTAAACAAGGATAAACATGTGCTTTTCAAGCTTCTGCAACAAAGTGTACGAGCTGAATCGCCTGAAAGAAGTTTTCTTGGTTATTTTATTCAAGAATATACGGGATATACGCCAGTACATCAATTTGGACAACATAGGCATGTTTGAATCAATCATTTTTAAATCTATTGTAGTTTCATATATAGAAATATAACAACTAGAATAAGTAGAATTATGTTTCATAAAGAAAAAAATATATATCTTATTCAACATGAATTATTTAAAAAGACAAGAGTTTGAAAGAATATGATACTTTCTACTTTGACAAGAAACAATTATTGTATATTTGTATTAAGCATAATTGAAATACATGAAAGAAATAATATATTCTTCTCTCATTTAGTATTACAACATTATCCATCATACGTTTACTGATTCAATGTGGAGCAGATGTAAATCAAATTTGTGACAATTATGGAAATCGACCATTGCATCTTATTGCAAGATGTTTTAATACTGCAATGGCAAAACCTGTGATGGAATTGCTGTTGATTTCTGATGCACATCTAGATGTCATAAATTCAACGAATTGCTTACCGGAAACTCTAGCAATGGCACATGATGTGAAAGCATTATTTTGTGAAAGTAAAAAACTATCACTCAAATGTCAATGTGCTCAAATAATTGGTTCATCGAATATGTATTATGAGCACTATCTTAACTCGTATCTAACTGCATTTGTTCGATTACATAGTCGTCCAAAACTAAATGAAATTAGGTACTTCGATGATTGGAGTGACTCTGGCTGGTGAAAAATTAATATTGAATATTTCATGATTTTAGCTTCTTAGAGTCTAGAAGATCTTCATCCGATCAATATACTCAAATCAAACAATACTATTTTATATAATCATATATATATTCAAATAATCTATGTGGAAATGGCTCATACTTTTTTCACCAACCATTTAACAAATATTCACGTTGACTGGTGGAGTCCTAGCCGAATGAGATTCATCCCAGATTCGGAACTAGAGCGTACAACACTCGATTCCTTCTCCCCGAAAAAAAAGTACACGGTCTTAAAAACATATTGTACAAGTGCATTGGCTTTAATCTTATCGTACAAGCAATCTTTTATCAGACACATCGTATTTTATCTGGGTAGAATGTATGTGCACGTTGAAAGGTCATATTTCAATGTATCGTTGAATGGTCATATAAAACATGCATCATATATTTTGCACATTGCCCTGCTATGCTTATACTTGCTTTTCTCTCTTTGTGCAACTTGATAATTGTAAAATACACTGTCCTTTTAGAACCGAGATAGTCAGAGAGTTTTATTCCGCAAAAAACATATTCATGTTGACTAAAACAATTCATACAAAATTATCAATCTATTGATAGTAAGTAGTTAAATTGGTCTTCTTTATCTATTATCAACACTTTTGCATTCATTAATTCAGATATTCTTTTTTAATGCTATTTTGTTTGTGCATTTTTTTCGAATATTTTATTAAAATAAATAAATTGGTGAGTTAAGCAGGATTTTTCAAGAAATTCTTGCTTCTAAGATTAACTAGACTTTCATACATTCTAGAAGTTTTCATTACATAACCTTGTAGAAAAATATTAACAAATTCCTTTTATCTTATGTTGATTCCTTATTATTTTATCGTAGCTTTGAGTGTATGCTCGTTTTTTTCCAAAATTGAAAAAAGCAATAGAATTCTTAACTGAATCTAATAGACTTGCGCTACATTTCCATTTAATATAAGGCGAATTTTATTTGTATATCAATAGGCTTAAATTAATTGTATTAGAGGATGTGGATATAGGATGTGTACAATGATGTATCCAGAATTTTTAGACCAATAGGCAAACTTTTATTGTGTCAGAAAAGAAAGAGGTGGGCAAAATTAACAAGGATTTTATTATTAATCCAAATTATTTTTTGATTCAACAGAGTATTGATAACTCAAAATAAATACAAAAAAAAAATGACATGAGATTATTTTAACCAAATATGCATCAAACTCAGGCCTTAATTCTGAGTCAGATGTGTTTTTAGTCTTTGTTTCAAACTCAAACACCAAAATAAAGACAACGAGAAGACATTTTCGTATACAATTTCAATATTTCATCCAGATTTAAAGGGATGGCGCGGTCGACGGAGAATGGTAGTATTCACCTCCTGCTCCTGGAAATTTTAGCTGAAACTTTCTGAAGATTTGGTATTTTGTGGATTGATTTGTACCACTTTCGAACACTTATCAGGCAATTTTCTCCAATATTTTTCAGAAATATATTGAACAACTTTCTCTGAATTGGAAGAAAATCTAAATTTGGAAAAATCTATTAGACAATTTTCGTCGATTCTTCAGATTTTTTTTTCGCATATGAATGATTAACTTAAGCTTAAAAAAGACCCACAAAATTGTTATCACACTCAGATATATCAGTCGCTAATGTCCACTTAGTATGACGAATCTTAACGACAAATGTGGTCTTTTTTCTCGTCTTTTCAAAAATTCTCGACATTCTAAAGACTTGTACAATATAAACCTTTGAAGTTCTATTTTTTCAATATTATTTTACTTCCAAAAATAGTTATATCAAAAATTGAATAGAGAATGAAATTAAAAAATAAAGTCATGTTTGTTTCGTTTATTTTTTTAATAGTAACTCTTCATGTATGAAAGGAAGAAGTACACGTATAATCTGACCAGATCTAGAAGCATCGGGAAGCCTCTCTACTACGAAAAAAACGTACATATAGTAATAAAAAAACTTTTGTATTTTTTCTTTCTCGAAAGAACAAACAGAGAGTGCATGTGTGATTCCAACGGGAAGAAAAAACACTTACTATCTAATTCAAAAATAAATAAACAATTCTGAAAAAGTAAAGTATCAATCGGCGTATCTCCAAATTTCACGGACAATTGCCCATTTGCCAGCTACTGAATACCCCACTGGATGTGTAGAGAATAGCCCCATTCATATTCTCAATTGCAATTGCTGGAAAAACATTTTGGTAATTTTACTTATCAAAGAATAAGTATTCTAAATATAGCTGATGAATTTTGAAAATGAATTTAATCATTTGATCAATCTCATCTGTCTTAAAAATCTCTTGATTCAACTTGATTTCATCATCTCAATGGTCAGTTGGTATTATTTTAATTGAATTTAATAATGTCTTTGATTCGTTTCTGAGACTGTTGAAGTTAAATATTGATGAGTCTCATATTTGTACGATGATTTCTTCTAGTTTCATCTCAGCTCAAAACTTCGCAATTTTCCAATGAAGGATTGTCACTGAAAAAGTATCGAGATTAGCTCTATCTCAATATGACAACACGACCACAGACAATTGAGTAATAGAAGACATTTGTATTCAAAAGTAAATTGCAATTCCTTTCGAGTATTTTTTAATGTGTCGTTTTTGGGTGCACTGTGTGTTTTGTGTAGTTCATATAATTTTTTTTGCATACACATTGCTTCACTATGCTTCATTGTGTATTTATTTTTCACGCTATATCTTTTCTTTGGTTCCGATTCTATATGAAACGTTAAAATGTACAAATAAAGTTATGAGCTTATTTCTTTTAAAATTGACTTCAAAAGTATTTTTCTGATGAAGAAAGAAAAATAATTTAGTTTGCTATCATCTCAATATGTGCTTGAAATGACTATCGAAAACAATCGTATACGCATTTTGTCTTTGTGGGTCTGGGAAGCATTAATATTGAATATGTCATATAATGGAATTAGTGATAATATTAAACTAATTTCTTTTTAATATCTTTTATTTTATCTATCACCTATTTAATTAATTCTGTCTTTTTAGAATGGAAATACATATAATGTTATATATAAGAATTACTAATCATCGTGTTTAATCTTTTTCTTTAGTTCATGATTCTGAAGATATACGATCATGTCTTCTATAGAATATTTATATAAAAGATCATGAAACTCAATAAAAACATGGAAGAAATTTAAATATTTGATTATGTATCAATAAGATAAATACATGAGATTTTAACCAAATTTATATATGAAATACTGAACCTCAACCTTATAACACTAACTTTTCAAAATAGATGTTACAACGGAACCTATATATTGAAATACAAAAAAAAAAGAGAAAGAAAAACGAGAGTATATGTTCAGACATAAACTTGGATATCGTTAACATTGAACATCATGCACGATGGAAACATGGAAATCAATGTAAAATATTTGATATATAAAAGGATTTTATAATCCAATAATAATAAGTCTCATTAATAACCTTTCATAATAGCAACTTGAAACATTGTGTATCAATAATGAGATAATCATTGATTAAAATTGTCTATAAAACAAAGATCGAAAATTCCTATTCACATAAATTTATTAATCAAAACGTTTTTCTACATTTCCAGTATTTCATATATAAAATTGAATTTCTGATAATCAATATTGTTTTTTTTTAATAGTTTAGATAGAATCGAAACCGATTAATTTATAAAGAGATCTATCGATTTTAAAATTGTAAAATCATTTGTACGTATTATTTAGACACAAAATCATTTAAAGAAAATTCATTTCCTTTTTAAAATATAAATATATCTTGTTGATATTCTATGTTAGCTAATTAGATTAAACTTCAAAAGAATTTTTCAATGTATCAATATAACAGATAAGTATAATAGTTATCTATTGGTCTATTAATAGTTTTATTGAACAAATTCATCATTGATATATGTTCCAAATCTTACTCTGAAAAATTACCCTTATTTAGACATTTTTTCAAAAAACATAAACCCAATTTTAATCGAACATACGTTCTCATTTCATTAAAAAGAAGATATTTAAATAGCCACTTTAGTCAAAATTTCGAGTAATAACCTTTCAAATATACTTTAGTTCGACTAAATCTGAAAAACATCAGCTGAAATATTTTTTCTAATGTTCATATAGAAATTTGATAACTTTTTATTGCATATAATTAATATTTTTTTGTTATCAAGTTTTTGATTTCGAG